ATAAATCCTAACACTGTGGGTGGAGAGAAGAGGAGGGGGCACTGGGGCACCAGGGCTCTGTCTCTGGAGAAAGAAGTGTCACTGGGGTGATAAGAAAGCCCTGGGTTGCTAATTAATAGCTTACCATTTTCCAGAAAGAGAGGGAGGCCATGAGCCATCACCCCTGTCAGACAATCTCACTTAAGGTGACAAGCAGGTCCTCCCTTGATGGCATTCAGGGGACCTTAACTTCCCAGGAAAGAAGGAGCCTGAGGTCTCTCAGGTGCTTTGCCCTCTGGTCCTGGGTCCCCTTCCCTGCCTCAGATGGCCAAGCTTTGGGTCCCTCCTGTACCCAGTAAACTATTATCCTCCACCAGACAAACAAACAACAGACAAACACAAACAAAACAAAACAGGAAGAAGTAATAGCAGCTTACTTTGGGGAGCATTCACCATGCATTGGGCACTGTGCTCAAAGCCTTAGTTTATTTAATATTCACAATGATTCTGTGAAGTAGTGATAATTAGAATCCCCATTAAATAAAAGAGGAGACCAATGTTTGGAGAAGTTAAGTAACTTGCTCAAGGTCACGCAATTAGAAATGTGGGCGGGTGTGCTCTGTGGTCATTCTGGCACTGGTGCTCAGCTGAGATGTCTGCCTGGTGTCTGAGCACCCAGTGATGCCCACTTCCCCAGCCCAGGCTAGAAGCCACGTGCCCTGCACAGCGCCAGGTCACTGGGTGTGTTTCTGAAGCCAAATTCCACAGCTATTTGCTCTCCCAGAGGCTGCTGGGTGACTGGCCAATAGGGTTTCCCAAACCAGGGACCCATGGAATACTGGTCTCCTCTGATACCTCCATGAAGATGCTTTGCACCTAATACTGGGTAACGGACTTCTTTCCTCCAGTTTCCAAGAAAACTTTGCAAAAGCATAGCATGTTCTCGGTTGAACATTTTTCTTCCATGAATTTCTTCTCATTGCTTTGGAGCTTGCTCCTGTTCACCAGCTGGCTGGTGACAGTAATGACAAAACAACTGAATAAGTAGCAAGCAAATGAGTGTTGACAGAAAAACTTGGAGATGTGAGATCTTTGATATATTATGTATTATGCCTTGAGATACAGAGACACCTAGCTATATATGAAATCGTTATATTATTTCTACTAGTAAGGCGGTTCCTAGTTTGTAATGATAAAGTTAAAGCTATCTCTGTTTATTAGTGTTCATGGTTTGCACGTGTTCTGCCCACTAAACAAATTTCAGAACTAGGAGATGTCCAAAATCATATTGGGCAGAGCTAGATAATTCTAATAAAAATAGCAAATATTTATTATATGGCTTCCTACATTCTAGGTACTGTCCTTAGCAATTTTGATGCACTTGATCTCGTTTAAATCTCACAATGACCCTATGAGGTAGATACTATTACTGTACCCATTTTACAGATGAGGAAACCGAGGCTGGGAGAGATTAAAACCAGTAGAGATGGACATTGAATGAGCCCAGTCTGACTTTAGAGCAGTGCTTCTTTCTCTCCAGCCTGAAGGGGAAATAAAGAAGGAAAAAGACAGAGAGGAAGAATACAAATAAATACAAAGAGCACTGGGTCAGGACTCAAAAGGTGGCTGAATTGCCCGTCAAAATTCTATCTGCCTCATAAGGTTGAGGTTCAAACAAGACATGAGTGGGAAGAAGGCTTTGAAGGCTGCTGTGCACCTGTGATTTACTAGAGGGCAACACATCCTGGTGGGTTGGTCCCAGCAGGCCTAGGGTAGGAAGGCACATATCTTAGGTCATCTGGGCCTTTGGACAGCCCTTGGGCCATTATGTACCTTCAGCCAGGCTACACGGGCTGGCTGAGTTCAAGGCCACATGTAGTGATTTTAAAGGGGCTAAATCCTATACAATCATACCCATCCTGGCCTAATTCTGGTCTTACCAGCCTTGCTCACCACCTTGTTCCCCTGTGTGGGTGAACCCACTCAGCATCAGGACCTAATTCTCCTTGCATTGCCTGCCTGTGAGATATCCCAGAAGAAGATTCTCCATTCCAGAGGAATGGCCTCCTGGTCTTACGTAACCAGTATTGAGCGCTGGGTGCCAATTCCCAATAATCCATACCTCTGCCTTCCCTAATCACATCTCTGAGGGAATGACAGCCAGGGCGGGGGTCACGTGGAGACGCATTCAAAATAGCAACCACACGGAGGAAAAATTGATTCCTCCACCTCTCTTTTCATTTATGAATTCAGTTTTTTTGTCAGGCTGAACATTTAAATGCACTCTCCGCTCTCTGGATTTCCCCCATTCTCCCGCTTTCTCATTAAAATTCTAATTATTACCAGAGCAAGCAAGATGTATGATCAAAGGAAAGCAAAACCCTAGAAATACCTTTTGTTTTAAGGTGACCCATATTGCAGAGACTGCACCCGGAACAGAGAACAGATGTGGAGGGCCCAGAGATGGCCAGATGCTTAGAATAAGGACGCCCATATCCGTGGTAGCGTTCCTGGTGAACCCCAAGGGGATCCAGGCCTAAAAAGCAGTCTTCAAATCATTTAGATCATGAACTCATAACAGCAAAAGCTATTTTGATTTAATACCTCCAATATGTGTTTTTTGTTCCCACGTTCTATACACACATACAGAGGGTGGTATTGTAGAGCTGAACTGTCTGGGTTTTATCTCAGTCCAAACACTTACCAGCTGTGTGACCCTGGGCAATCTATTTAACCCTCTGTGCCTCAGTTTCCTCATCTGCAAAGTGAGGATAATAATCTTTACCTATTTCACTGGAGAGTATTAAATGAGTGAATACATAAAAAGCGCTCTGTACCTTGGACATAGTAATGTTCAATAACTCGACTAAATCCAACAATAAAATGGTATCATTCCTATTACTGTCAACCTGTATATTACAATTTTGCTTTCTTATTTTTAAGATAATAAATAAATATTAAGCAATCTTTTTTTTTTTCTCTTGTGCTCCCAGGATGCATGCACACCATAATTGCAGACCTTCCGTCTAGAAGTTAAATAGGAATCAGTTTTTCTGGTCCCTGGCAGTCTCTGGTGGACTAACCTCAGTTCCTATATTGGGGAAAGACTCCGCTGTCTCCATGCAGGGACTTGGGGGCTGGAGTAGGTTGCTAAGGACTTGAGGATCCTGTGCTCTCATCCCTTATTCCTGCAGGTGGTAGCTGGTCAAGGCCAGTACCCTCCAACCAGGGAGCTGGGAGGCAGTGCTAACTCCCCAGAGAGGGTGGCTGATGTTCTGGCCTCCTTCTCAGGTGCCTTTGGATGGGGGACAGCTTTCGCGGGGGCCCATGTGCCGTGAGAGTACTCTTGATCCCCCAGGGAGGGACTGGGTATCTCTATACTCCCAGTCTAGCTTAGCACCTAGAACATGGCAAGTGCTCAGTAAATGTTGGCTGAGAGATAATGACAGCTGTTTTATGTGCCATTGATTGACTCATTCATTCATTCATTCTCATGTGTCAGTTTCTGTGCTGAGCCCTGAGTCAGACAAATATAAAAAACACAGGGCTATAGTAGCCTATAGTTTAATCAGGGACAAACAGTCTGGGACAGTGGGATGAGCCCCAGGCTGGGCAGTGGACATCTGTACCCTGGTCCAGGCTCTGTGTCTGACCTGTGACCCCAGGCAAGTCCTTTCTCTGGACCACTTCTCCCATCTGCAAAAGCACAGCCTCACTTGTAGGGTCATTTCTCACCTTAAATCCCAAGATTCTTAAGGCATGGGGACAGGATAATCCAGAGACTACAAACTCACAGGCCTGCAGGGGCCAGGAAGGTAACAGTGAGAGCAGCTGGTGAGCACGCAGCCTTCCGAAGGGCATCGCCAGTTCCCACCATGTGGAAGCATAGGTCCAGTTAGCAAGTCCTCAGGCCTTTTCCAGAGAAGCCAGAAATCTGGTGTGATGACGATGATAGTGATGATGGAATTGCTCAACGTTTCAATCATCATGTAAGCCAGACGAGCCTCCTCTGCTGGCTTGTCTACAAGTGACCTTTGTGCAAACCCATCATTGGTTCAAGGCCTCTGACATCTCAGAGTAAGAAGAGAGAGGCCTTGGGCTCAAAGGTTCATTCCTAAAGGTGGGGTGGGAAGCCTGCTTAATAATTTCTCCCAGAGGGAGACATCCTTCACAGCTCTCCTGGGGTATTGGGCATCCTACTGGGGGCAGAGGTGGCCTGGGTGTGGGACAGTGAATGCCTGCCTCTGAACAAATCACGACATTCAGTTTTACAGCAAAGCTCTCACATAGCCACAGGAATGGGGGGAAAGGACAGCTATCGGAATCATCTGTATTTAGCTTTGAAGTCAACTGTGTGGATCAGATTCCGACTTAATACAAGTATTTATTGAGCCTACTATGTGCAGAGTTCCGGGAGTACGGCAGAAGCATTAGACCTAATCCCCCTCCTTGAGGAGATTATGCCCGATCTCATTCACTTCAAGTCAACCTACTAACTGTACATTAGCTCCTGCTGTGGGCTTGGCAGGCGCCGGGTAAGGGAAGGGAATGAGGGTCCCCAAGGCCCCACAGCCTGTGGAGGAAGAGAGCTGTCTGCAAAACCAACCCTGCTGTAAATCTGGCCATAGTGACAGCTCTAATAGAAATTCAAACAGCATCCAAACGTGAATGCTTCACGAATTTGCACATTTGCTTAGGCTGCTATTTAAATTACGCTCCCTTCCCTATACACGTGCCCATGGGGAGGGGAGGCAACCCAGGTGCTCCCCAAGCTGGCAGTGGGGAGAGGGGCAAAGCTGGAGAAATGAGACCGAGGTGAACCCGAGGCTGCAGGTATTTTACAAGGTGGATACGGAGCATCAAGCCTACAACCATCCCTCCTCTACCTGGGCAGCCTTCTCATGACCACTCTTTTCTCTTCTTCCGTCTCTGTCCCTTCTGTGTGGCCCCTCTTTGAACACCCTTCCCTGCTTCTCCCCTCCTGTGTCTGTCCCTGTCGCTCCCCGCCTGGCTGAGGGCAGGCACCTCTGTCAGCCTCCTCACAGTGGTAGTTATTGTGTGTGGCGTGGCCCTGGTGGCAGTTTTTCTCTTTCTCTTTTGGAAGCTGTGCTGGATGCCCTGGAGGAACAAGGAGGCCTCCAGCCCCTCCTCTGCTAACTCCTCCCCGGAGGCCCTCCAGAGCCCCAGCTCCAGAGGCAACATGGCGGACAAGCTGAAAGACCCCAACACCCTGGGCTTCCTAGAGGCAGCCGTGAAGATCAGCCACACGTCCCCAGATATCCCTGCCGAGGTGCAGAGGTCGGTCAAAGAGCACATCATGCGTCAGACACGGCTGCAGCGACAGACCACAGAGCCAACGTCATCCACCAGGTGAGGGGTGGACCCCTCCCTTCCCTACCTCCACATTCCTGGATCCAATACATTAATGAGATTCCGGCCTGTGAGGATCAGAGACCAGAAATAATCATGTGCATATTCTGGTTGGAGAATATGTCCGATGATGTGCTCCTTGGTGGGTGATCAACTCGGAGGTGGGCGCCAGGAGAGGGGAACCTTTGAGGTGGGGTGCTGTGCAGGTGGTAAGCCCTGGGATGTGTGTGGGTGCGAGGTGTTGGCTTATCCGGAGGGAAGGAAAGACTTCAGGCTGAGGGAAGAGAACATGCAAAGGCGCAGAGGCATAGAAGTTCATGATGTGTCTATGTCAATACAGCCTCCTAGATGGAGGCTGCAGTGCGTGGGAGATAAAGCAAGAGATTCCTAACACTTTGAGAATGAGGATAGCTTTTGACAGCGTTCCCCGTATGACAGCAATTGTATACATGGCATTCTTTAACTGAAAAAACAAAATGACAACAAAAAACAACCACCACATAATGACAGAAACCTACTCCAAATTCAGAAACACTTTTAAATGATGTGGTACGTGCAGGTATAAGGCATTGTATTTATTAAAAACTTGGGGCGACGCAAGAGATATGGGAACATATGTATATGTATAACTGATTCACTTTGTTATAAAGCAGAAACTAAGACACCATTGTAAAGCAATTATACTCCAATAAAGATGTTAAAGAAAAAAACAAAAAAAACTTGGGGCTCTTGTGGATTCCTGGGTCCAGGCCCCCAGGGGACCAGCCAAAGGGAAGCAGGCCTGGTCTTCAGATTGAAAGCCAGAAATGATGAACGTGCTGGGTCACGTTTACAGAGTTTGTTGTTTGACCTCAGGCAAGTTGCTTACCTTTCCTGAGCCTCACTTTTCCCAACTGTAAAACAGGGCTAATGACTCTCATAAGGGTATCCATGAGGAGCCAGTGAAAGAATCCGTGTGATAATAAGAGCTTAGTATAGGGCTTCCCTGGTGGCGCAGTGGTTGAGAGTCCGCCTGCCGATGCAGGGCACATGCGTTCGTGCCCCGGTCCGGGAAGATCCCACATGCCGCGGAGCGGCTGGGCCCGTGAGCCATGGCCGCTGAGCCTGCGCGTCCGGATCCTGTGCTCTGCAACGGCAGAGGCCACAGCAGTGAGAGGCCCGCGTACGGGGGCGGGGGGGGGGGAAGAGCTTAGTATATACCTGGCCCTGTTCTAAGCACTTTCTTGTATTTATTCATTTCACCCCCACAGCAATCCTATGCAATTGCTACTTTTATTATTCTCATAACTTGCCCCAGGTCATACAGCTAGAACGTGGCAGAGCCGAAATTAACCTATGCAGTCTGACTCCAAAGCACAATAAATGTTAACTATGGTGGTGGGGATGGTAGTGGTGGGGATGAAGGAATGCCACGTGGAGGGTGGGAAAGGATGGTCCTTCTCAGTCAGGGAGCTTATGGTTTAATGGGGGAACCAGACTCATGCCTACCAGGAAAGAAACCTAGAAAGCAGGTAGCAGGAAAGCAGGAAAAATGATAATGATCACAATGGCTAACACTTACTGAAGCTCGTTATGTACCAGGCTCCATTCCAACTACTTTTCATATATTAAGTCATGCACACCGAGTGTGTGCAGAGGGAAAGGGGGTCAACTGGCAGGAGGAAAAGGGGGCCTCACAAGGGGTAGGATGAGCCAGGGCCCTGAGCCATGCCTGCTGGCATTCCCCCACTACTTCCCCCACCTCACTCTCTCACCCCCTCCTGCCCTCCGCCAGGCACACGTCCTTCAAGCGCCACCTGCCACGGCAGATGCATGTCTCCAGCGTGGACTACGGCAATGAGCTGCCCCCTGCGGCGGAGCAGCCCACCAGCATTGGCCGCATCAAGCCCGAGCTCTACAAGCAGAAGTCAGTGGAGGGGGACGATGCCAAAACTGAGGCCAAGACCTGCGGGAAGATCAACTTCAGCCTGCGCTACGACTACGAGAACGAGACCTTGATCGTGCGCATCCTGAAGGCCTTCGACCTCCCCGCCAAGGACTTTTGTGGCAGCTCTGACCCTTACGTCAAGATCTACCTCTTGCCTGATCGCAAATGCAAGCTGCAGACACGGGTGCACCGGAAGACCCTGAACCCCACCTTCGATGAGAACTTTCACTTCCCCGTGCCCTATGAGGAGCTGGCTGACCGCAAGCTGCATCTCAGTGTCTTCGACTTTGACCGCTTCTCCCGCCATGACATGATTGGGGAGGTCATCCTGGACAACCTCTTTGAGGCCTCTGACCTGTCCCAGGAAACCTCCATCTGGAAGGACATCCAGTACGCAACCAGTGTGAGTACCGCCCTGCTCCCTGGGCTTCTTGAGGATTTGCAGTCCTGGATTTGACTGGGATGTGTCCCGCATCCTCCTCACCCCTAGAGACAAATGGGCCTCTGCCCTTCAGGGTACGAAGGGGACTCTGACTAATAGCCCAGCCCACTCTGGGGAAGTCCTTGCCCTGGGGCCCACGTTGCGGGGTGGGGGGGGGCCAGGGAGCAGAGCCCCCATGTGGGTGGGAAGGGAAAGGAACATATCTATGGCTTCTGATCGCATGTTCTGAAGTGGTTCTCTCTACCTGCCAGGCCTCAGGTCTACCACCTATAAAATAATATATGTCTTTAATCATGGGTAAGGATTGGGCCAGGCCCGTAGACTGACTCAGACAGCAGTGTGAGCCATGGGCATTGGTGTGTACTGGAAGCCCGGCACAAGCAATCAAGAACAGGCTGTATTAATTGGGATAAACCAGGTTATGCCGTAGCCACAAACGATCCTAGGATTTGGTAGCTTAAAGTAGCCAAAGTTTAGTTCTCATTCATGTTACATGTGCTTTGCAGCTTGGCCATTCTTCCTTGTTACTTAGGGATCCAAGCCAACAGAGGCTCCGTTTTGACCTGTGCCCCTATAGTTACCACCTGAGGAGGAAGAAGATGTGGCAAATCATGTGCTAGTTCTTAAAGCCTCCGTGCAGAAGTGGCACATGTCACTTTCACTCATATTTCATTAGCCAAAGCAAGACACATGCAACTCCTACTATCAAGGGGGCCGGGCAAAGCAATCCTACCATGTGTCCAGAAGGGGGGCTGGAAGTACTTAACGACCAGCACTAGTGACTACCATGCAGCAGAGCCCCTGCTCTTAGGCCCTGCCTGCCTGGGCCAGTCCGGGAGTTGGAGCGGGGCGGGGGGGCTTGAAGGGAGACCTGGCTAATCCACACATGCGGGAAGGGGATGCTTGGCTGTTCATGATCAACTGGAGTTAACCATGACGGTGTCAAGGAGCTGGGGCTCAAGTTGACTTTTAAGAGGGAGGACAGGTTTGGCACAGAGAGTTAAGAGGGCATCTCCAGAGCCCTTTGGTCCAGTGTAGACAGTGTTCTCCAGTCCCCTGGGTGGCAGTTGAGGAAGCTGTGTAATTGCATCCCACAAATGTAGGTAGCATGCCTCTCTCTAAGCCCAGCCAGACAGCTGAGAGCCCTGCAGGGGTGTTGCCACCAAACACCAGTGGCCTTGTGTCTGGTGTCTTGAACGCTAACTGATCATCTCCTGGGATATTTCTTGCACTATTTCCCTGAGTGCAGACCCTCCCTTTGGACAATCAATACTCAATATCTATGGGCTGAACTTGTAAGGAGAGAGGCTGGGAGAATCAGCCCCACTCTGGTGGGAAAAGGATAAGAATTGATTTGTTCAAAGAGAGAAAGCTTGGTGGACTCCGTTTCTGCTCCAGAGAAGGTCTCTGGGACAGCCCATTCTCCTAGCTGCGGCGGACCTTGACCAGCCCAGTCCGATGTCTCAGTGCCTCCCCTACTTTTGCTCTCCCGAAATGTCATCCGCAAGAACAGCACAAGCAGCGGGGCCGGCAGACAGGGCGGGCAGACGGGGCGGGCTGGAACAGCAGCTGTGTGCCAGCCTGAAGCCCAAGAGCTCCGCTTTATAAATCACTCTGAAGTTTACATCTGGTGCAGCTCTTCCCTTGTGGTCTCGTAAGGCAGCAGCTTCATTATCGTGACTATACAGGTAGAGAAAAGCGGCTCAGTCCCCCCCATACTGAGGCTGAGGCCCAAGTGCTCAGAGAGAGGTAGGTGTGAGGGCCAGGGGCTGTGGGAAGCAGGACTCAACTCAGCCCTCTGAAGAGCCTCCCTTCTCCTCTCCAGAGGCCTCCCTTTCCTGTAACTTGAGCACCAGGCACGATGAAAGCCCTAGTCCTGGAGCATGCGGTCCGTGCCCAAGGATGCCCCTCACCTGCATGCTAACTTCCTACATCCTAGAATTCTGTGGCTGTCCCTGCACTCATCCCACACCCCTTCCTCAGCCCCGCTTCAGAAAAAGGCAGATCGTCCGAGAGGAGCTGGACAAATCATTGCCACCCTCATCATCCTCAGTCAGTACCACGCTAGCCCTCCTCCATCTCCTCCTAAGCAGGCCTGTGCCAGGAACCGGGGAGCATGGGGGGCTGGGATGGAAGGCAGCCTCTTTGACCCACAGAGCTTTAATGCAGCAGCTAGTGATGCAAATACCGTGAGGCTGTAAGATCTGAGAGCTAGGACAGCCAGGGAAGCTTTCCTGGGTGGGGAAGGAGAATTCAGGTGGGTAGGGAGGGACTGTTCTATATAACTTGATAGGCAAAAGCAGGAGGGGTCTGGGCCCAGGAGTTTCTGAAGCAGAAGATCAGGTGATTTGCTCACACTCTCTGTCTTGCTCGCAGTTTGTCTGCACTGAATGTGCTGCCTGGTGAGGCCCCTGGGGCCCTCCCATCCACAGCCTCTCCAGCAGGCCAGCTCTCAGGGGTGGGCTCTTTATCCTGGGGGGTGAGGAATCAGACAAAGGAAAGGAAACGGAAATAAAAGACTGGTGCTTTTACCTGTGCTTACTCTAAAATTGTAATTATTTTGAGGCCAGAGAGGCCCAAGCCCTAGTAACGGGGAATGATTGAGCACTCAGTGTACATGAAATCCTGCAGCCAGCACTGTGGGGCGCGGTGCACATGAGCACAGCCGGCTCCCATCTTTCCTGCATGCCAGATTCCTGCCAGATTTCATTCCTAGAGCTGCATTTTGGCCCCCAGCTCCTCCGGCCTGCAGGCTGGTCGCCGAACACGTCCAGCATTTCTGCCTCTTGCCTTTGCTCCCAAGGTTTCCTCTGGCAGACAGGCTTTTCCCCCACCTCTCTGCGTGGCCCAAACCAATCCACCTTTCAAAGCTTCCCTGAAGTCCTTCCGCTCTCACAGCAATCACTCCTCTGGATTTATTTTCTGGGTCCCTCATTTATACACTGAGTCATATTCTGCCTTGCAGAGTCCCCAGTGGCTCAGGAATGGCTTGTGTCCCACATTTGACTGTCTCTTGTATTTTCCCTCAAGGCTGAGCGTGTCATTTTATGCAAACGTAAGAACTCAGCATGTTCTTGTTGAATGACAGATGGCTTAGTTAATTCAAACAAAACTACGTATTGGTGCACAAGGAAAGGATCATTAAAGAAGCAATGGAATTTGGGTGCAGTTAACCTGGGAAGGCTTCCTGGAGGAGAAGGTCAAGTAGTATTTTGAAAGTGAGTAGAGCCAGGCATGGTGGGGAGAGACCTGGGCTGTGCATTCCTGCAGAGAGATGGTTCAGGTAGATGGTTTATGTCTGGAGTAGCAAAGAGATTAACCAGCCTGGACTGAAGTAGAGGGTCAGGGACCCCACAGTCTGGACTGAAGTGGAGGATCAGTGACCAATAGTCTGGGTAGAAGGAGAGGCCCTGTGAGAAGTGGGCTTGGGAGGCTGCTCTGATGTCACAGGAGTCCATGAATGCTGTCCCCCTGGTACTCCTCATACTTGTGTGGGAGAATCAGGTGCAGCCCTGGCAGGTGGAACCAGGCAGGTTCCTTGTTTTGGCCGCTGCCCCAGTGCCCAAGGTGGTCTGAAGTAGCAAAGCCTGGAGCATTTGTGCTGTTTTCTTACAACCACTGAACATGGAGCTTCAAGGCTCGTGAAGGGGAGGTGTTCATCTGGGGAGGCTAGCCCTTTGTTAATTGCAAACCTTAAGCCCCGAGGGCCACTCCCCTCAGCATCCCCAGGTTGTTCTGGATGGAAGCCTAGGCTGTAATGGAGCTAACATACACCCCACCAGAGGGTGAGAAACAGGCAAACAAGATGTGCTAGGACAGTCAGAGGTCTCTGCTGTTCCCTGGAATCAAGGAGCTCAGGCATGGGCAGGTCTGCCACTGAGGCTCCCACCTCTTGCCTGGCTTGAGGTCCTCTGGTGGTCTCCGGGCATTGCCCGTGGTGTCCTGGGCATTGCCCGTGGTTTGCCATTTTCTCTCCACACAGAGCTTCGATTGGCTGAAATCATTCTGTTCTTCCCTTCCCCCCTCTCCAGCCCCCAGTCTCATTATTTCTATATGAAGCTGTAGATTTATCATTAAAATAGAGCCACCATCACCAGGGTTTGGTAACATCTCTGTATTCTTGTAGTTATTGTTACAGAGGCCTCAGACCCCAGTGCACACAAGTATTCCTGTTGCCATTCCAGCTCCTTCATGGAGGCTGTAATTGGGGCCATAAATATGTGTTGTGCTTGGTGGCATTAATGGACTCGGCCAACTTCCTGCCATACCAGGTCCCCGCCAGGTCAGAATGAGTGTGTGTGTGTGTTTGTGTGTGTGTTTGTGTGTGTGTGTGTGGGTACAGGTATGTGTGTGTTTTGGGGGTGATGGAGTGCTCTGTATAATTCCAGGGAGCCTGGACTCGGAGTCTGCAGGGAGGAGGGGGGGCCTTATGTGGTAGAACAGTCTCTTTTCTAGCCTGGGAATGAGCAGAGCTGTGTACAAAGAGCTCAGGCTTTGATACCAGACAAACCTGTGTTGCATTCTAGCTTCTGCACTTTCTAGCTTTGAGACCTTGGGGACATTGTCTAAACCATGCCTCAGTTTCTACATCAGTAAAATGGGGATAATGATGGTACATACCTCATAGCGGTATTCTGTGTAGTAAATTAAATAAAATGCACAAGATGCCTAGGGCAGCACTGTCACAGAGCAGCCTCCTGAGCCCCATTCTTACAGTGCCTTTCCTTCTAACTCGGCCTGTGGGTCACTATTTGTACCACTCCCAGGCCTGATCCCCCACTTTTTTCCAGATCACCTATTCCAACAGGTTGTTGGTTGTTATTATTCCTGTTTTATTTATTTCTCTCTTTTACTTCTTGTCCTATCATGTGTTCTCTGTGTGACCTTGGAAAAGTGATTTGCCCTCTCTGAGCTGTGGTTTCCTCAGAAACTAGTTTCCAAGTTGTGAGATTCTGAGATTC